ACTCTATTGGATATGGTGCGGTCTATGATGTCTCTTACCGATTTACCGCTATCATTTTGGGGATACGCTCTAGAGACAGCTACATTCACTTTAAACAGGGCTCCGTCTAAATCTGTTGAGACGACACCGTATGAATTATGATTTGGGTAGAAACCTAAGCTGTCGTTTCTAAAAGTTTGGGGATGCGATGCTTATGTCAAGAAACTTCAACCTGAAAAGCTCGAACCCAAGTCGAAAAAATGTGTCTTCATAGGATACCCTAAGGAAACCATTGGGTATACCTTCTACTTAAGATCCAAGGGCAAGATCTTTGTTGCCAAGAACGGATCCTTTCTGGAAAAAGAGTTTCTCTCGAAAGAAGTAAGTGGGAGGAAAGTAGAACTCGATGAAGTACTACCTCTTGAACCGGAAAGTAGTGCAGCTCAGGAAAATGTTCTTGTGGTGCCTACACCGACTGGAGAGGAAATTAATGATGATGATCAATGTACTTAGGATCAAGTTTTTACTGAACTTCGTAGGTCCACAAGGACACGTTCCACACCAGAGTGGTATGGCAACCCTGTCCTGGAAATCGTGTTGTTAGACAACGGAGAACCTTCGAACTATGAAGAAGCGATGGCGGGCCCAGATTCCAACAAATGGCTTGAAGCCATGCAATCCGAGATAGAATCCATGTATGAAAACAAAGTATGGACTTTGACAGACTTGCCCGATGATCGGCGAGCGATAGAAAACAAATGGATCTTTAAGAAGAAGACGAACGCAGATGGTAATATTACCATCTATAAAGCTCGACTTGTCGCTAAGGGTTATCGGCAAGTTCAAGGGGTTGACTACGATGAGACTTTCTCTTCCGTAGCTAAGCTGAAGTCCATCCGAATCATGTTAGCAATTGCCGCATACTATGATTATGAGATATGGCAGATGGACGTCAAAACGGCATTCCTTAACGTACATCTTAAGGAAGAACTGTATATGATGCAGCCGGAGGGTTTGGTCGATCCTAAGAATGCTAACAAGGTATGCAAGCTCCAGCGATCCATTTATGGGCTGGTGCAAGCATCTCGGAGTTGGAACATTCGCTTTGATCAGATGATCAAAGCGTTTGGGTTTATGCAGACTTATGGAGAAGACTGCGTTTACAAGAAAGTGAGTGGGAGCTCTGCAGCATTTCTCATATTATATGTAGATGACATACTCTTGATGGGAAATGATATAGAACTTTTGGACAACATTAAGGCCTACTTGAATAAGTGTTTTTCAATGAAGGACCTTGGAGAAGCTGCTTACATATTAGGCATCAAGATCTATAGGGATAGATCGAGACGCCTCATAGGTCTTTCACAAAGCACATACCTTGATAAGATTTTGAAGAAATTCAAAATGGATCAGTCCGAGAAAGGGTTCTTGCCTGTATTGCAAGGTGTGAGATTGAGCTCGGCTCAATGCCCGACCACGGCAAAAGATAAAGAAGAGATGAGTGGCATCCCCTATGCTTCAGCCATAGGATCTATTATGTATGCCATGTTGTGTACCAGACCTGATGTAAACCTTGCCGTAAGTTTGGTAGGAAGGTATCAAAGTAATCCCGGCAAGGAACACTGGACAGCGGTCAAGAATATCCTGAAGTACCTGAAAAGGATAAAGGACATGTTTCTTGTTTATGGAGGTGACGAAGAGCTCGCCGTAAAGGGTTACGTCGACGCTAGCTTCGACACAGATCTGTATGACTCTAAGTCACAAACCGGATACGTGTATATGTTGAATGGTGGAGCAGTAAGCTGGTGCAGCTGCAAGCAGAGCGTCGTGGCGGGATCTACATGTGAAGCGGAGTACATGGCAGCCTCGGAGGCAGCGCATGAAGCAATTTGGGTGAAGGAGTTTATCACCGACCTAAAAGTCATACCCAATGCGTCGGGGCCGATCAAACTCTTCTGTGACAACACTGGAGCTATTGCCCTTGCCAAGGAGCCCAGGTTTCACAAGAAGACCAGGCACATCAAGCATCGTTTCAACTCCATCCGTGAAAATGTTCAAGATGGAGACATAGATATTTGCAAAGTACATACGGATATGAATGTCGCAGATCCGTTGACTAAACCTCTTCCACGAGCAAAACATGATCAACACCAGAACTCTATGGGTGTTCGATTCATCACAATGTAACTAGATTATTGACTCTAGTGCAAGTGGGAGACTGTTGGAAATATGCCCTAGAGGCAATAATAAAAGGATTATTATTATATTTCCTTGTTCATGATAATTGTCTTTATTCATGCTATAATTGTATTATCTGGAAATTGTAATACACGTGTGAATACATAGACCATAACATGTCCCTAGTAAGCCTCTAGTTGACTAGCTCGTTTATCAACAGATAATCATGGTTTCCTGACTATGGACATTAGATGTCATTGATAACGGGATCACATCATTAGGAGAATGATGTGATGGACAAGACCCAATCCTAAGCATAGCACAAGATCGTGTAATTCGTTTTGCTAGAGCTTTTCCAATGTCAAGTATCTTTTCCTTAGACCATGAGATCGTGTAACTCCCGGATACCGTAGGAGTGCTTTGGGTGCCAAACGTCACAACGTAACTGGGTGACTATAAAGGTGCACTACAGGTATCTCCGAGAGTGTCTGTTGGGTTGACAACGGATCGAGACTGGGATTTGTCACTCCGTATGACGGAGAGGTATCACTGGGCCCACTCGGTAATGCATCATCATAATGAGCTCAAAGTGACCAAGTGTCTGATCACGGGATCATGCATTATGGTACGAGTAAAGTGACTTGCCGGTAACGAGACTGAACGAGGTATTGGGATACCGACGATCGAGTCCCGGGCAAGTAACGTACCGTTTGACAAAGGGAATTGTAGACGGGGTTGATTGAATCCTCGACATCGTGGTTCATCCGATGAGATCATCGAGCAGCATGTGGGAGCCAACATGGGTATCCAGATCCCGCTGTTGGTTATTGACCGGAGAGCCGTCTCGGTCATGTCTGCATGTCTCCCGAACCCGTAGGGTCTACACACTTAAGGTTCGGTGACGCTAGGGTTGTATGAATATGAGTATGCAACAAACCGAAAGTTGTTCGGAGTCCCGGATGAGATCCCGGACGTCACGAGGAGTTCCGGAATGGTCCAGAGGTAAAAAATTATATATAGGAAGTGCTGTTTCGGCCATCCGGAAAGTTTCGGAGTCACTCGGTATTGTACCGGGACCACCGGAAGGGTGCCGGGGGTCCACCGGGTGAGGCCACCTATCCCGGAGGGCCCCGTGCGCTGAAGTAGGAGGGGAACCAGCCCCTAGTGGGCTGGTGCGCCCCCCCTTGGGCCCCCCTGCGCCTAGGGTTGAAAACCCTAGGGTGGGGGGGCGCACCACTTGCCTTGGGGGGCACTCCACCCCCCCTGGCCACCGCCCCCTTGGGAGATTCCCATCTCCAGGGCCGGCACCCCCCTGGGGGCCTATATAAAGGAGGGGGGAGGGAGGGCAGCCGCACCCTGAGTCTTGGCGCCTCCCTCCCCCTGCTACATCTCTTCCTCCTCCTGCAGTAGCTTGGCGAAGCCCTGCCGGAGTCCTGCTGCATCCACCACCACGCCGTCGTGCTGCTGGATCTTCATCAACCTCTCCTTCACCCTTGCTGGATCAAGACGAAGGAGACGTCACGCTGACCGTACGTGTGTTGAACGCGGAGGTGCCGTCCGTTCGGCGCTAGGATCTCCGGTGATAGGATCACGACGAGAACGACTACCTCAACCCCGTTCTCTTGAACACTTCCGCTCGCGATCTACAAAGGTATGTAGATGCACTCCTATCACTCGTTGCTTAGATGGACTCATAGATGGATCTTGGTGAAACCGTAGGAAATTTTTTATTTTCTGCAACGTTCCCCAACAGTTTCCAGTGCCACGTAGGACTGGCCTGGTGTGTGGGCGTTTATCCGGTCGCCCACACGGCCATTTCACCACACGGGAGGGGCTGGTGTATGGGCGTTGAGCAGTTCGCCCACACGCCACTTTCCACGCACGCATAAGGGCTAGTGTGTGGGCATTTGCCATCTCGCACACACGCCCGTCTCCTCTCCCACACCTAAGCTGCTAGTTGCCATATATTTTGCAGCGCACATGGCAACTGCCCTCGTGTGCTTTATAAGTAGGTGACAACTCTCTTTTTACCCGAGTTGCCATGTGTTTTGCAGGGTACACAGCAACTGCCTAGTGTGCACGTAAGCAGATGTCAACTCTCTTTTTACCGAGTTGCCATGTGATTTTGTATGATACATGGCAACTGCCCTAACGTGCACGTAAGATGGCAACTCTTCCTTTCTACATGACAACTGCCCTAGCATGCTTGTGAGCACATGGCAACTCTCTCAACTGCCTAGTGTTAGTATGTGGCAACTCTTAAAATTTTAAAATCATGGCAACTAGAGTAGATCAGACCATACATGGCAACTGCAGTTGAGCAACCATGGCAACTGCAGTTGTCCGACATGGCAACCGTTGTTCAGCGACATGGCAACTGCAGTTGAACGAACATGGACGAGGGTCTGAACCATGGCAACTGCGGGCGCGCAGTGACTGTCACGCGTGGCGTGCGGGTCCACGAGGTACGAGGCCTGACATACGGGGCGTGTGGGCGTTATCTACTTCGCCGACACGCACGCATGTGAGAGGGACCAGGAGGGAAAAAAAGAGGTGTGTGGGTATTAGTTGTTTTGCCCACACGTAGGTGTGTGGGCTGTTCCTCTTATACACCACATAAAATATGTGGGCAGTCTTCCTAACGCCCACACATGTGGCACTTATCGGCGTCCTTGATGTAAGAAAAAACAGATTAGAGATAAATTTGACATGTCCGGATAAGGGTGAAAACCCAGCCGGACTCAGACTACAGCACCGTCCCAATTTCCCAAATAAAAGGGCCAGCCCGGCAGGACGGCAACCAAACCAGTGCCGGCTCGAGGGCTTCTAGGTTTGGATACGCGATGAATCCCCTTCCGGCCGCCTCCGATGGAACCGAGAGCGTGCCCAACGCCGATGGAGCCACAAGCGTGCAGGAGGTTGTGCCTCGAATCGCCCTCGGACCGCCGTCCCAAAGAACATGTTCTACTTGCGATTCTCAGGTATGCAAGGAGAAGATCCAGATCTGTTACGATTTTTTTTAGTTCTATCTTTCTGTTTTTTTAGTTCTATCCTTCTCTGCGAATAAATTTTAGCTACATCTTGATGGACGAATTCGTTAGTTTTAACTTTTTTCGCAGAAGTTGATCGACCTCCGGGGATTAGTTGGGCTGATTGACGTCGCCCGTTCCACAGGTGGTTCCGGCCCTCTGATCCGCATCGCCGGTACTAGTTCTCCTGGCTACGCCATCTGCAAGAAGGCACCACGGGAGCTCCCGGGGCTGATTGACGTCGCCCGTTCCCAAAGAGGTTCCGGTTCCATGATCCAGCGGCCGCAGCTGCCACCGCCGCGCTGGTCCCTCAGAGATTCCTTAAGCGACCCCCTCTTCGAGATTTTTGCGGTATATACATATTTCCCTCTCATTGGCGAAGTATTGGTCTTCAATGGCATGGCCACACAGATCATCAGCCAGAGCAAGAGTGTGGATGCGTTTAATTCAAGCAAAGCGCAATGGGAATTAAAACATCCCAGAACTAAACATGTTTTCAGGGTATGTTCTTACTAACTTCCTAATTTCTGGGGGAATCCAGTTGGTATGCGATTCACATATATGCATGTTTGCAGATGGAGCTGCCTCCTACGGGGCCATCTAGGTACATCTCAGCCGAATCAGGCGTTCTCCTTCAAGTGAAGATTGACGCAACTGAGAATGAACCTGTGGAGGTATCCAACAAGCTGGTGGATTGGTTCAATTCGCCCATGTCTGACAAATGCAAGTCTGTCACCATCCAAACAAGCAAAGGCAAAGTAGATGTGTTATGCGCGGTGATAAATGATGCTGTGGAGGTCACCCTGAGTGTATGGCTGTGCATACCATGTGAGCTATGCTCCAGTAGTATACACGGTTCCATCACCGCGCACACAGACATATTTCATCGTGATATCACCGTATTCACCAGAGCTGCCAATTCAGGTGTTAATCCTCTACAGCGTGTTGCCCATCCAGTACCGCCCTCTCTCTGCGATGAATCGCACCGCCATGTGTGCCTCCCATTGGTGCGGCCTTTCCTTGCCGTGCCTATTCAAGCGACTCGCTTAGAGTTTAAGGGGTCCCTGACGATAGGGAAATCCAAAACCCTGAGTATCAAGGAAACCGTTCTTCTCAATGCGGAGGATATTTCGAGCGAGTGGTTCAAGCATGAAGATGAAGATTGCTATACTAGGCTGTCCCTGTCTATTAGGTGGGCTCGCTAGTGTAAGTGGAGGAACGGAAGTGGATGGCGGTACGGTGGCGGTGGTATAGGTGGGCTTCGTTGTAGGTGTAGGTGGAGTGTGTCGGTGGGCTTCGTGGCGGCGGCGTGGTGTTGGTGGAGTGTGTCGGTGGCGGCGGCGTGTCTCCAGCGACGGCGGTGTCCTCCTGGGCGTGTGGTCAAGCTGGTTTGGTGCTCTTCGTTGGGCTGCAGGGCTCCTCCGTTGCCCGTGGATTCTCCAGGACGGGAGGGGATAGGGTTCCCCTCCTCCGGTGGCTGCTCTTCTGCTCGTCGAGCGAGCCGATGATCTGGATTTGGCCATTGCTGCTGCCCATTTGTGCATTCCGACAGCTCGCCCCTGTTTCATGCCTGGACTCTTGCATTTGGCGTTGCTCTGTTTCAGGTTAGGTGTCGTCGGCAGGCTGGGAACGCCTGGTTCCGTACCTGTGGTTTCCTGCGATGCCATTCATGCAGGTTCTAGGGTGAGCATGTCCATCGCTCACCGGTGCGGCGCCTCGAGCCAGGCGAGGAGGCAGGGGCCTTCTGTGACGATGGATCTGGATGGATGTGTCTCCTTCAAGCCCAGGCGTTCGGCTATGGCGTGCTTTGCTCCGTCGTCGGTGCTCTTTCCTGAGACGTTTAGCGTTTTTGCCTTGGTTCTCGGCGTGTTTGGGGTTCATGGCATCTCTAGCTATGCTTGCTAGCTTGTTGTATGCTTCTGCGAGCTGCTCCTAGGCGCCATTGTATCTTTGTCTTTTGTTTTCTTTCCTTTTAGTTGGAGTGTGGTTGTATTCCGTCGCTGTAATCCTGGCCGGTTGATGGCTTTGTTAATTCAAAGCCGGGCTCTTCTGGAGCCTACGTTCCAAAAAAAAGATGGCGGTACGGCCGTTGAGCTGATGACCATGAAATCTTCAGTTCAGCCAAAAATGTACTGCTCGTCTACCATGGTCATGCATGATTCAAGCAATATTTACGGTGTGACTCTTGACTCATGAGAAGTAACAATAACCTACATGACCAACTGACCATATAAACGCAACAAGGGCATGAACGAAGTCGCGTTCCCGTTGTTTCTCATATAATTTCAAGCTTTGATATCTGCGAGAGAAACTAATAGCCTTCACTTCACCTTAATAATAGATACTTAAGAGGGGTTTTTTGTACTTATATATAGTTGATACTCAGACATGCAGCAGGTAACATATACTAGCAGATAATCAAATCGAAGGAAAGAAAATCTATAGAAGCTGCACTTGTAGACACTGTGAAGTCAAAAAGAAGCAAATCCATAAAGGGCTAGGCCCCCGCCCGGCACAAGCTTCGCCACTGATAGTAGTGGGCGGTTAATCTTGAATGGGCCAACAGATCAACCTTAGCCACCTGTGTGCACTGACCTTAGTCTTGACGTCTGATGCCTGCTTCTTCCAGATGGCCTCTTCGAGTTCAGGCGGCGCTGGCTTGGTCTCCTCCGCCGCAGAACCGGCAAGGATTTCTCCCGCACTCCATCCCCACCGCCCAACGGACCGGAGCCGACCAGCCAGACCGCCGCCCACCACCATGCGTCATCGCGGTTGCGCCGCCACCCACGCCGCCACACTGCGGACACCAATACGAGGCCAAGAGGACCGGAGAGAAGCGCCCCGCGGAGGGAGAAGCGCACCGAAGCCGAACGGGAGGGAACCACCTCCACCGCCGTCGTGCGGGAGGCCAGAACCTCCGTCACCGTCGCGGTAGCCGTCCGAACGCGGCAGCAGGGCATGCCAGGCCACCCCTGGCCCGGTCAGGCCCGAAACGGGCCCGCTAAGCCCCGCCGCCACGCCGCAGCAAGCCGGCGATGGCGCCGCCAGCACCCTACCGCTCTTCGCCTCTCCCCCGCCTCCTGGAGGACGCACCGCAGCCGCACCCCACCTCCAGCCCGCCCATGCCCAGATTTGGGCCGAGCAGGCAACGCCAGACCGCACCGCCGCGCTACCCCACCGCCAACGGCGACGCCACTGCCCAGCCATCCGCCCGCGCAACGCCAGGACCCTGCCGCCACGCCGGACCGCCGCCGCCTAGGGACACCCCCCAGCTCGCTCCGTCCCGTGCCAGAGGAGAGCCGAGAGGGGAATTGCGAGGGGGCCGCCGCCGCCAGCGTCGCCCGGGCCAGGCCCGGCTGTGAGCGCCGATGACGGCGGCGGGGAGGGAAGGGGGGGGGCTGAAGAAGAGGGTCACAGCGCGGCCTGTCGTCCGTGGGGGTGTCGGGTGTGTCCCCCGGCTGGCCTGTTTGATCTTTTGGGTTGTTTCTTTTTGACTAGCCACATATTTGGGTCAGTCAATTCTTTAACCGGCCGAAGCCAATTCTAGTGCCCCACACCCTTCTTCTTTCACCTTCGTTATTCTGTTTTTCAATTTATATACATTTTTTGCTTTTGTTTTCCATTTTCTTTATTACTTGGTTTCAATATTTATTTTGTAGGTATTTTTGGGATGTTCGGTGTGTAAATATATACATACAAATATTATACAATAATATGTGCCAAAATTTCACTATATATGATTATACTTTGCATATTACAAAAAGTGCAATTTTAGTACAGAGTTGCGTGCAAGTTTTAATTTTTTTCTTTCTTCTTAAAAGGAAATAGCAACACCACTAATTCATTATTTTTTAGAAAACTTTGGTACTGTTGTAGTTTTATTTTTTATTTCATTTTGATTTTACTTTAAAGCTAATACCACTGCCAGTAATTCATGTGTTCTTAGTTTTTTTAAAATTTCACTTTTATGTGCTTATTCTTGCAAATTTTAAAAAATAGCAAATTCTATGTATATTTAGTGCAAAATTTGTCACTGTTTGTTTTAGAATATTTTTTTCCCATTTTATTTCTTCTTAAATGGTAATACCAATGTCACTAATTCAGTGTTCCTTAGAAAATTTCATTATTTTGAGTTTGTTTTTCATTTTGTTTCTTCTTGAAGGGTAATACCAATGTCACTAATTCGTTACTTCTTAGTAAACATCTCTTTTGTGAAATTTCACTGTTTTGTGCTTCCCGTTGCATATTATATAGACAACACGGAGGATGAAAGAAATAGTCTGTTGATTCCATTTCATTACCTACTCTGAACAAAGATTAAAAGGTTTCATATAACAAAAGTGGAGGCAAGATTATAAAGCTAGAGAAGAGGAGAGCTGCCCCCGCGTCGTCTCCTCTGGAGGCAACTCGGGCGGACCACGACCCCCGCCGCCGAAGCCCACCCCCTCCTCCCGCTCCTCCCTTGCCGCTGCCGGCACACGTCATTGGGCAAAGCCCGCTGGCGGCTGGCGGCGGCAGGACCAACCCTTTTTTCCACGCGGGGAGCTCCTGGGGGCTGGCGGCTGCTGGATCTCGCGGTGGTGCGCGGCGGCTGTCCGACTAGGCGGACTCTCGAGTTGAGGCGGCTCGGGGTTTGCCGGTGTTGGCTGTTGGGCGGCGCGTGCGGTGGTGCCGGCCTCGGTGTAAGTGCATCTAGTGCCACCCCTAGTTTGGTTTTGGAGTATTGACGACAAACGTGGTTGAGGGACTAATGTGTTTGTGAGAATTGCAGAATAACAGAGGCTACAACAGGGATCCTAAGACTTGGGTCCTTGAGTGGATGACAGGAAATGTCCATCATGAAGCCAAAGCATTTGATGTCATTGAGCTTACTGGCCTGCCCACTCCAGGTGATCTCTATGAACCTGGTTGTTAGCTTCACACTGCTGCTGCTGTAGAAAGCATCTTTCACAAGCCAGAACCCGACATGAGCCAGATGCTCAGTATGATGAAGCCATTGCCTCCAAATGCAGAATATCCTATGGAGTTCTTTGTTGAAGACCTTGAGTATCTGCCACGCACAATCTATCACATCATAAGACGAACTCTCTGGCCCATCAAAGGACATTCTCCAAAGGCTAAACTAGAAGGTGCAATGAAGACATTGGTCTTTCATATTCTTCATGGCAAATGCTTCAATGCACAAGATTTCTTCATCCGTCAACTTGCTGCATCAGGATCTGACATTTTTGGCTTGAAGTTCTATGCTCCATGGATCATGCGTCTGATCAAGCTTCACACTGCTTTCAACTATCAGCCATCTGCACGCAACCACATTGTCTTCTTGCCAGATGTCAATATGTCTGTTGAAGCCATCTATCCAGAGCCTGACAAGGAGCCACTTTATCTTCATAACGTTGATCGTCAGAGCTTCACTCAGCCCATTGAAGGTGTGCTGGCTGCCACTCGAGTCTATCCGTTGGCTGGTACTACACGTGCACCTCACCGTGTCCAAACCGAAGCCACTGACAGCACAATTGCTCAACGGCCTCGAAAGTGATCTTGTGTTCTCAATGACCGAGAGCTTCTCGTTGGCCTGCATCAAAAGCAGGATAGGCATCATGATTGGCTCAAGCGCCAGATGCAGAGGATCATGACTGACGTCAATCGCATTCGCAACCTTGCAACCAAGAATGCCTTTGTCGCGCATGAAACCTGTCGACGCACACGGAAAGGGCTGATGCTTATGTGTACTGAGGAAGATCTTCAAGACGATGGCTTCTCAGAACGATTCAAGTTTGATTCCACTCCGCCCAGAAATGCTGTTCTGCGGCGCACTTCATCTCTTGAAGACTCAGAGTACTCCTCTTCTGCTGCAACCGTGAATGCTCGTGTGATCGATGATCAAGATGATACTACTTCGCCACCTCCAACGTGTATCGACACTGCTCCAAGTTCGTCTGCACCGCCAAATCTCGACACCAACCCTGCATCTTCTCCTACTCCTTCTGGGAACGAGTAGAGGCTCACTGTCTTCAACCCTTTTTGGTCCTTACTGACAAAAGGAGGAGAAGCTATGAGTTGATAGTCTTCAAGCGGGTTCATATGGGCGGTTGCATTATATTTTGCCTAGTGTTTACAACTCTTGCTCTTGATACATTTGGTTCTCTTAGTTGTAACACTCACTACTAGAAAAAAGGGCTATAGATGGGATTGACACTAATGG